TTAAACAGCCATACGATTACACTCGGTATATAATTTATGTATGAACCATGTTTAAAACCTAGTGGATAACTTTTGTCGCTCTACTTGTTCACAGTCGCAAGTTTTAATTATGTAATAGTACGTTATCCTTCAGATGTGGATAAATTGTATACAGCTGAAGAAATGTCAATGAAATATAGCAAATTCACATTGATCTTTATATATTTGTTTTCTTTTCAGTTCAAATTAAAATATTTTTCCTATGGTTATCAATGAAAAAATCCATTATGAGAGCTATTCAAAAAGCTATTTTATAACTCCACTATACATCCTTGCAATTTTTCATAACAGCAATATATGTTCAAGTTCAAATAATATTGTGAACGGTTGACTTGGGTTGACGATTAATATTCAGATTTTTTAGTGTATACGACGTTCAACTGGTAAAATTGAATCTCTAGTTGTGTAGAAAACCATGACTACTTAACAGTTAACTATATTTCAATAATAAGCCAATATTTTGGCATCATTCATTTCTAACAAATCAGCACCGGAATAATGTTAGCCATAGAAAAATGAGGTAGCCATCATATTTCAGTAATACGATGGCGACTGTTTCTAAACATAGTGGGAACATCGGAATATTATAATACACATTATTTTATCTGTTATGGTTCAACTCAAATGACTTTTGCTCCTGTTAACTGGTTTTTAACGTGTTCAATGCTCTTAGGAATTTTTCTCTATTGATCTTCTAATAATAAACAGTAAAAGATAAGAATGAGTGATCGACATTTTTTCTTATCAAACGATTGGCTGTTAGAGTTGGATAATTGTTGTCAACCTATTTACTGTCAGTAAACTGATATCCGAAATTGTTGTGTTTGTTGAATCATTGAATTATGGTGTATGAGATTTTGTTCTACATGCTTCCTCTCAACGGTCCTAACAAATCTGTTAATCGAATATCCAGTGCACTACTAAGTACAGAGTATAACTACAATAATTACCAAAGTTTGTATGTCTTACAGTTTTAGAAACAATTATGACGCCACAAAATTAATTATTCACGTTTATAATCTCCCTAACCTTGTCAGTAATAAATTTTAGATTCAGATACAGCCATTGATACTATTTCAATAAAAAATGTCAGTTATACTCTGACAAACACTATTTGCTTTATTGAAGTAGATAGTGAGCTAAGTAAACATCATTCAGGAATCTTTACATTAATGCACTAACGTTTATATTGTTACTTTTCACCAGACTACTTGAGATGATATCAGCAAATAAAACGTTTTCATTATGGGGTTGTGTAGATTGTTGAGTTTCACTGAAAACATGAATCGATCAGTGTTAGACCACCATGGAAAAACTGGAAGCACTGCACAGCTGTTTCGTTCTAGCATGGGGATCCTCAGCAGTGCGCCTCAACGATCCCGCACCCACAACTGTGTCAGTTATCCACCGAAGACGATGGAGGATGGTCGCACAACGCCGTAGATTGGTACAAGGTAAACATTAACACCGATGGATGCCAACTCAGTGGTCTGGGGGTTAAGCGTTCGCGTGAGACCGATGGTTCTGGGTTCTAGTCCCGCATTCGCGGTCGTGGTTGCATATTGCTGAGGAGTCCCATACTAGGACTAAAAAGTCGTTCAGTGCTTCCAAGTTTCCAGTGGTGGTCTAACATTGATCGAGTTATTATTTCAATGAGGGTAAACTGTTCTTCGGTTATGAACAAAACACTTTGCTTGGTGACCAGTACACCTGGGCGATTAGTACACTTATGTTATCATAAGGTTTGACGTATTGTGTCATTAGTCTGTGTATCGAACAAATCGCAAGTAATTGATTGTATTGTACATAGTCATTGAAGTTCCTTTTTAAAGCTGAACTGCGACTATACCAAGTGGAAACAAAACTTTGATCTTGTCTGCTCTTGGGTTTGATTTGACCATTCTAAGGGAAATAATTTATTGCTGTTAATGTCATCCAAAAGTGATTAGAAATTATTCCAGAAGACCGCATTTCCGCAGTGAGTACAGGGTGAAAATCTAGAGGAATAATTTGTTGCTTGGGGATACCATAGGTAGTTATTTGAAATAAATCTTATTCAGTTGGCTAAGTTTAGAGGGAAAAATGACATCAAAGATGTTAGGTTCACAATATACCGCTTCCAATAGACCAAGTTCTCGGAAAACATCTAATCCTCTTCCCGTTATCAGACTGTCATCTGAGAACGATAAATTTGAGTGATAATAAAGGAAATTCATAACCATTGCACAAACCAGTGACTATTTGAACTCAGTGGGTAACGCAAATTTTTTATTTAGTTACGTTAAATAACTATCCACAATAGAATAATTAAACTAGGGAATAATATTGAAATATAAATTAGAGAGTAAAAGCAGAATTATAGTTGCACAACTTTATTATTTATTTATGAAATAAACAGTAGTATCAATAAGTGAACTATTTTGCAAGCGTTTGTAAGATTTTATAATTTCTCGTTATATTCAGAACTGTAATAATTTTGTTTCTGTTGCAACATTTGGATCCTGAATGGATAGCCTTAATAGAGACAGTCTTTAGGTGTAAGTTTCATTTTGGGGACATTCAACTAATAAATTCCAAGTATAAAGAAACACGTATCCTAGATTTCAAAACTAGCCATAATTGAAATATACTATATTGAAGTTATTCCAAACATATTACTCTTTATACCATAAGTTATATTACATAAATGCTATAACTTACAAATTATTCAGTATCTGAATAATGCCTAAAATAATGGATAGTTTTTTAGTCCTCATAGTTTGTTAGAAAGTCTCAATACGAATTCATGGAATGAACTCGAGATTTAAGATGTAAACTTGAAAATAAGAACTAGTTATCTCGGTAAATACATTGGTCAAATTTTATACTACATGTATAGTGCAAAAGCAAATAAATAGATTTCTAAAACTCTTCTTTTTACTATCCCTGACCTAAGATCAAATTGATAGAGATTTTGAGAAAGGAAAAGTTCTGTCTAGTCAGATTCAAAATGGCTTCTTTTTCTCGACATTTAATTTTAACGAGAGGCATCTTGATGATATACTTTTGATTAGTGACATTTTTTACCAAACAACATAACTTAATTCAGTTGCTCAACAATATTAGTCAAATTACTGGTCTTATAACAGAAGATAAAAATTTTTATTGATTGCTCTTGGAAGATCAATACCTTAGATACAATGATTGATATTATTAGTACCGTAATATTTTCAGGAGTGGTCAGTATCCAAACATTAACCATATATATTTACTGAGCTGTGAAAGTACATGTGGGTGAAGAACATTATATTAAACAGTAGAGAGACTGAAAGGCTAAAGAAAGTCAAACACGAAATCATCAATTCTAAAAACCTTATGTTCTTCCCTAAGCTTAGTATATTTGTATGTCTTCTTAAAGATAAAAGTCTAGATGATTTATTATTTAAATTGAAATTCATTCTTACGCTGTTATGATGTTATCAGTTATCAAATTATTGATAGTGAAATGTTACGATTTCATTGCATGTTGTACATTTTTTCATTAATATCAGATGGTTTAAATATATGCAAACCAAACAATTTCTACTTCAATAATTAGGTGATAAATGGGTAGATCCTGTCATTGGTTTTGAATATTTTTTAAATGTAGTCCGTCTTAGCCAATGGACTAATTTGCCGTAAGCCACATCAGCAAGATGCAAAATGAAGAAGTTCAAATAATCAGTGTCAGTCATAGTAATAATATGAGCATCAGCCTCATAGTTGACCAAAGGACAAAAAAAGACAATAAGTTCTATTCTAAAGCATCTAGTTAATACTGGTCATAGCATCAACACAAAGTTGACTATATGGTTCCATCGAACTTGACCCATGCTTCTAGAATTTGTCTTTTACTTATAGCTGGAGCTATAGAAATATCAGTTAATAAACATAATGTTTGTGTTCAGCCTCTTAGTTTACTAAAGACATCGATTTGACCAAACCCACACTACTGATACTTTTCTTAAATGTGTATTATTACGTAATCTACCCCGGTAAATTGATAATCAAATTTTGTTCGCACTCGTCTCATTAATTACTCACTGTTATTTTGCAAGCGACACTATACATTCATATTCAGTTGCTTAATTTCAAAGTTACTCAATTACTTTCCTTCTTCTTACATAACTAGTTTAGATAAGCAGCCGATTACATAATTCTGTTTTAGGTTTAAATATGCACCCGTTGGATCATTATCTCTAGACACTGTTAAACTGACTACGTGCCACTTCCTTAGTATTTATTTAACACTTAATTATAAAACCTACATATTACTACAGAACCAAGACGGGGAACTATTTGAGAAGAGATATTTCTTCACTCAACTTGTATTTTTGGCAAAGCATATAATCTATAAAAAAATGAAGACAAAACAGCCATTGGGATTAGTTCCCAATCATACTACCTAAGGATTTTAGTTGTAAATTACCATTATGTGGGTCTGGATCTACCGAAAAAGCTAAGTCTAACAACCGATTACCTAGTGGACTAACAGTATGTTTTTGTCAGGTGATTTCCGGAAACCGTGTCTAGTAATTCTCTGGTAAAAGCAACAAAATCTATGACGATGCTATTTTACAAAAATAAGAATGGAATATTTGAAATAATAAATAACCTTCATTCTTTCGAAGTAATATTTAATGTCAGGCTCGATTGCGTACTTATAAAAGTAAATACTCTTCGAATTCCCTTATTTTGTTGTAGGAAAATTAAAGTATTATTGTTAAAGTTACGTATAGTCGAGTTTCTGATATAAACTTACACATTTCCAGGAATTTTCATGAAACTAATTTATTGTCTCAATAATATTATTTAGTAAAACACTAAATAAGGTGTAGAATAGATAACAATACACCACTGAAGACTTTCGGTCGCAAAAATACGGCATGCTAAGTGAAGTAACATATCAGAGTTATCATCAATAAGTTGTGGTTTTTCATTGAAATTCGAACCTGGAACATTAAGGAAGCCCAGATTGTCCATAAAATCCTGATCACTATAGTTTCGGGTTATTGTTAAGCTTACTTGGGAAGCTATATGAGAGTGAATTCGATAAGATTTTGTCGACTAAGCTAAGAGAATATCCATCAGTGAAGACTTATGACGCAATTTCGATTACCACTGGGCTATCCGAGCCACGTGACATTGATCACCACCCAGTGATCAATCAATTGTGAGTTAATGATAGTGCTATACAAGTCTGAAAATGTTTCATTATACCATAAAACTAATGGATTGG